GCTGTGAACGCCATTCTCTGCAAAAGCCGTAATGTGGCTGCATGCTGCTGTGTATATGGGATTCTTACGTGTATGGATGTGTTATTATGGATGTGTGTTTCTGCACATGCCTAACAGGAGAACATGCTTCCATCACATTCATTCTGTGCTTAAAGAACAGGTCTCTGTGCACAGAGAGCAGGCATAACAGGTGAACAGGACAAATGTGTACTACATAACACAAAAATGACTGAAGCAAATAAAAAACAAAATAACAGCACTCCATTCAAATGCAAATATTAATAGAATCATGGAATATAAGGAATGGAAGAGTCTTTGGAAATTATCTAGTTGCTACCCTCTGCCAAGTGCAGGAATCCACTTCTGCAGCAAAATCCATTTTGCCAAATCTATCTTGCCAAACCCACTTCTGGAAACGTTGAAAGACGTTCTGTAGAGCAAAAATTCAGAATCCAATTTGTTTTAAATGTTCTTCCCAAAGATTGGAATCCTTGGGAAGGATTCCCCATTACTATTCTCCTTGATTTTGAAATTACATACGTTTTTATCAGTGTCTTTTTTCCCCTCCAGGAAGTAGATAATGCATTTAAAGAACAGAAGGAGATGGAATTGAAGAAGGAATTGTTGATAGAAAATAAAGAGTTCCTGAAAAATTTTTTTACAGAGGTCTGTATCCTTAAATTGCAATGTGAGAAGCAAGTCTTAGGCAGTGCCCAAATTTGAAATATAAATAAAAATAATAAATAAATCACTACCAACATTTTCATTTCATATCACTGATAGCTCAGGTGTATTTATTGGATAGTAACTGTTGCAAACAGCAATGATTAGGCACACAACCTAAGGTCTTTTGAAATGCCAAATAAGTCCTCTATACTAAATTATATCCCTCGCTCCCTCCTTCCCTCCCATCCATCCATCCATCTTACTGATCCCTCTGCCATTATTTTACGAGGGAATTTCACATAGGAATCAGTGTCTTTCAACAGACATTGTCTTTTTAAAAAGACTGCTACCCCCTCATCCTCCTCTACTTTCTCCATTTTGGGGGCACAGGAAGGACAGAGAGGTCGAGCTAGCAACAAGCTCCTTAAGTCTCCTTTCCACTGCCTTAATACAGCTAGGGAGAATAAATCTAGAAAGATAGTTCTGGCTGAATTAATGAATATGCAGTTAAGGCTGAGTAAACAACAGCCTCTGGTTCCGAAATTTGCACCAAAACACCTACATTCAGTAGCAAAATGCTGCAATTCCATTATGCTCTTTTTGGTTCTTTAAAAAAAAAAAAATAATAAAAGGCAAAATAGGCCTGTCAGTGCCCTTACTTATTGAAAATTTCCAGTGCAAAATGATGGGCTTCCCATAGTCCTCTGAGAATCCCCCATCTTTTCAAAGTACATTTGGAATTTTTTTTTTTTTGGTATAATTTTTATTATTAAAAAGTACATTTGGAATTTGATGACAGGATCCTGTTAGCCAATTGTAACCCTACAAATCATTTTTGGTATGATTTACATGAGATTTTGTATGATTTGTATGACAGCCAGTTTGGTGTGGTGGTTAAGGTGCTGGCCTAGAAACCAGGAGAAGGTGAACTCTAGGCCTCCCTTAGTTATGACAGCCGGCTGGGTGACTTTGGGCAGTCTCACTCTCTCAGCCCAACCCATCTCATGGGGTTGTTGTTGTGGGGAAAATAGGAGGCAGGAGTATTAGGTATGCTCGCTGACTTGAGTTGACTGTGTATGTGTGTGTGGACGTATATGTATATCAGGATAAAAAAAAAAAAATTACAAGGTGTTTTGTTAGTTGACCTTGTAAGGGTTGATGAGATTTTTGTGACATAAAAGAAAGATAGGCTTGACATGCCAGCAGCGATCTTCATTAAAATGATGTATGGATGCCATCAATTGCTCAGAAATTTGATGTGCAGATTAGCTGTGGTCCTTTGCTTCTAGATAGACTGTTGATGTCACTTCCATTGCTGTGAGTTACGATCTCAGGCAGATTCTGTGCACTTCCAGGAACTGGCTGTATTGAATTGTCATCTCTCTGACATATCTGTGGTGCTCAATATGAACAACAGCAGATGTTTGGACATGGATACCCTCATCCAGAACATTGATAATTGGTATCAGAGCATTGCCTACAGAAGCAAGGAAGAAGCTAATCTTTTTTATCAAAACCAGGTATGAACCTGAGGCATGGAGTGTGTGGTTGATTCTTCTAGTTTTTTAGACCAGAATCTATCATGTTCTGACTTCTGATTTACATCTTCTTGTTAGCCAACTCTTAGCTTGCAGGCTTCATATTGCCTAAGGATACTCTGTCAGCCTTTTATCCAAATCGGCACAGTACTCTCTCTCTGTTAAACAATGCTGTTCATAGCAGCGATGGTAGCTGTCCACACCAAAAGACCCATGGTTTTTTTATGTGAAGCCAAAGGATAATTCTTAATAAGTCAAATGCTTTGCTCAACCTAGTAGGTAACTGTAAGGATAGTAATGTAATAATAGCATAATTAAAGTAGCTAATTAAAATGTCCAAATCAGTTCCCCTTATGAAGAAGCAATTCTCATAACCCTTCACTAAACTTTTCCTCAACTGCTGAGTATTGCTATTCCTGTAAATATCAGCAGCAGCAGTCGCAGCAGTGTGACATAAGTTACTTCATTTTCATATGTGGTGTCAGTCCAGCTTAATATAGCAAACATTGTAATGTTTATTTTATTGCTTGCTACATTATTTGATAGATCATTACTAGGATGGTTTAGAGTATTTCTTCTAAAAACCCTAGTAATAAACTAAGATCTCACCAATGAATCAAAATAGATGGTGGATTGGTTTCCCCACCCCACCCCACCCCCTCATATTTCTCACCCTGTATAACAAAGATGCCAGAAAGGAGTAAGCAGCTACTATATTTGCAAGATGGACTTGTTCTTTAAATAAAATTCCAAGACTCAATATTTGGAGCTTAGTGTTGCAGCCTGGAATTAAAGGATCTAAGCTCAGCAAATTATTCTAAGTAGTAGGACAAAATGAATCTCTGTTCTACCCGCAAGAAAGCAAGAAAACAAATCCACACCTCATCATCACCCCACCCCCAAGCTTTGTTCATTTCAGGTGTATCATTTGGGATAGCTGTGAGAAGATCATTTTGTTCCTGCAACTGATAGACTGTAGGCAGCCAGACATCCTTACTGACTTGTTGCAAATCTACTAAAATTCTACCTGTTAGCAAGTTCTTCTGAATCTTATATTTTCTCAAGAAGTTCTTATTGCAAGCGCTGGGGGTGGTGGAGAAACCTGTAGAAGGCAATTCTGAACTGTCTGTATTTTGATACATTAGTGAAAGGAAGGGATCAGCTAATTATTTAGTCCCTGTAGCTTATTTTGAATAAATTCTCTTTTTGCTGT